GGAGACTGAGGAAATGCTTCCTCCTGCCTGCAGCAGACTGATCACTGGGGGAGGGGAGACTGAGGAAATGCTTCCTCCTGCCTGCAGCAGACTGATCACTGGGGGAGGGGAGACTGAGGAAATGCTTCCTCCTGCCTGCAGCAGACTGATCACTGGGGGAGGGGAGACTGAGGAAATGCTTCCTCCTGCCTGCAGCAGACTGATCACTGGGGGAGGGGAGGCTGAGGAAATGCTTCCTCCTGCCTGCAGCAGACTGATCACTGGGGGAGGGGAGGCTGAGGAAATGCTTCCTCCTGCCTGCAGCAGACTGATCACTGGGGGAGGGGAGACTGAGGAAATGCTTCCTCCTGCCTGCAGCAGACTGATCACTGATCTCTTCTCATTTCCAGGCGCAGTGATAATGGTGAAGCGCGTCAGCAGTGAGATGGGAGTACCGCCTGTGCACAGAGGTAAGAGGCCCCTCCCATTTAAAGCCTGACTGTCCCTGGCTCCGCCCCATGCGCCATCTTGGCGAGCTGTGTAATATTGCTCAGTGATCTCCGCCATCTTGGCGAGCTGTGTAATATTGCTCAGTGATCTCCGCCATCTTGGCGCGCTGTGTAATATCGCTCAGTGATCTCCGCCATCTTGGCGAGCTGTGTAATATCGCTCAGTGATCTCCGCCATCTTGGCGCGCTGTGTAATGTCGGTCGGTGATCCTCGCCATCTTGGCGCGCTGTGTAATATCGGTCGGAGATCCTCGCCATCTTGGCGCGCTGTGTAATATCGGTCGGAGATCCTCGCCATCTTGGCGCGCTGTGTAATATCGGTCGGTGATCCTCGCCATCTTGGCGATAAAAGACATATGTAGTTCAGTATATATTATATTGAAGGGACGTTGCTATGACAAGACACACCTGTGTGAGAAGCCTGTGCTGGAAGCTGCCATTTGTCAGTGTGGACGCAATGATGTGTCATGTGACTGCAGATCGTCGTCGGTGCAAATTGAGGAAATTGGTTTCATTGCTGTGACACCTCACTAGACCCGTCCTGTGTTCGGGGGTCCGTGACCGGCATCTCAGGGCCACGTGTGACCTA